TAGAGAGACAGACAAACTGCAGCAAGAGAACCTGGAGCTGGTACGGAGGCTCGCGGCTCAGGAGGAAGCTCTCAGCTACAGCAACCGGCAGCTGGATCAGCGCTCATCAGAGTGTCGGGCCGTCAGCCGACAGCTGGAGGCAGCTTTAGCGGACGTCAGACAACAGGTACGGGTTAGATGTTGGAGTGCTGTCCAACAGTTCAACACCTGTTCTTCACTCAGATCATCAAGTAAGACATTACAACCTAACAGTTCAGTCGAGATTTGTTTGAAGCCATGCCGTAAGTAATCCAGCTTAAGATACATAGTAAACAGGCAAAGCTAGATATGCATGTATCTGTATAAAACAACTTGTGTTACTCCAGCTTGGTGTCAAAGAGAGTTTTGTCGTGCAGAAAATGGCGCATCACATAATGATATTTCACATTTTCACCCCGTGTAGGTCACTAAGGTGAAAGAAGAGGCTGTTTCCAGGGAAGAGGCTCTTCAAACCAAAATCCTGGAGCTGGGAGCCGAGAAGAGCAGAAGGGAAAGCGAGCTGAGGCTTCTTCGCCAGAGCAAGCTCAACGTAAGGGCCATAGAGAAGATGCGCTCACATTAGACTGAACATTTCTTGGAAGGCAGCGCTGAGCTGTATTATCTGTCTGTGTGTCTCTCAATCTGCAGGCAGAGAAGCAGTATGAGGTACGTCTGAAGGACCTGCAGCTTAGCCTGGACCAATCAGAGAGCCACAAGCGAAGCATTCAGAATTATGTCGATTTCCTCAAAAAGTCTTATAAGGCCATGTTTGATGAAGGACTGCAAACATCAACATCTTATTTTCTGAAATGATGGAGGTTTGCATTTTAAATCCGTTTTTATACAGTAATGTTTTCAGATGTTTGTACATCTTGAACTATGATGTTTTGGTGCTATTCTGTCCTTATGACAAGGAGCTTGTTGCATAACTGTTACATAAGATTGGCCAAACTCTGAGTTGAGTAACACCTAATAGTACTGTTGCGTAAATATTACACATTTCAAGTGTGAATGTAAGATAGCAAAGACTACACTGGACTGTAGGAAACCTCTTTTCAATTTCTATTATTTTATAAATTTTAATAGATTCATTTATAAAAAACAAAACAAAAGGACTTTCCAGCAGGGTAAAATGAAATTGCTAGAAGTACTAGCAGTCAGGTTATTTTAGGCACAATGCAGTATGTACTTGATCTGTCTTATGCAAGTGGCTACAGCTGAACAACTTTTTTCCACAGTCTGCATCTGAACACCAACGAAATTATGACAGCAGTTGTTGGCCAATGCAAGTGGTGCTTGAAAACGAAACATTTTATTGGTGCTTACATCCTTTTCAGTAACCTTTGTGTCTTTATAATGCATTCAAACAGTGCACGTGTGCGATGATAAATTACATGTGCAAGTAAAGCAGCAGGCACTGCACTCAAATAATGTTTGATTGTAAGTCAGATACATGTGTGATTAAAATGTGAATTTATGAATTGTGCATCACTGGTGGAAGGGTTTCCCAGCTGCCAGTAATGGCTATCTACACTCTGCCATATTAAAGACGTAGCACACTGTGTGTAGTACCTGAAATAAGTGCCACCCTCGTGTAACACTATGGCCTCTTCACTTAAACTTGCACATTCTGTCAGGGTTGTGATATCAGATAATTGGCAAAATTATAAATTAGCCCCTAAAGGCTGCCAGAATAATATGAATCCCAATTCAAATATAACATTCTTGCTATCAATACGCAATAAGCAGTTCATACATTTAAAAACAAATTTCTGCTCCATCTTCTCCACGGGCTCTATCTTATAACGCTGATAACCGTGGAAGCTTCCACGCTGTCATTCCCATCGTCAGTTCAGCAGAAAGCAAAACTTTTGGATTCACAAAAAAAAAAAAAAAAATCTAATTTTAATTGCAAATGCCTTTTTGTTTGGTCACATTTTGTCCCAGCTGTGTTTACCTGTGATAGAATGAATCCATATTTCCAGCTGTGACTTTGCCCATCACCCATGATAAATCTTCTGCTCTGACTAGTGAAGCTGATTCAAAATTCAGCGTCTTTACATCGAAACTTTTAATTTCCCTGTCATCCTCCCGATGCTGGAAACAGGCATGTGTTTGTTTGTTGGTAGTGGACATAGCAAAGGTGTGGTGTGCACTGGTTGTGTTATATATTAGGATTCTCAGCTGGATTGAGAATAATTATGTGTAGCCATTAGCTGTGAAGTCCATACCTTTAGGTTGCAAATGTAACTACCCACTTCTATCTCTGTTGTTGGTTTGTCTAATAAAAATCTATATTAATCTGGCCTGGAGGCAAACACAAGAGCTCCGGTATCAGCTGCAGCGTGACTTACCGAGATTTACCGAAAAACTGAGCCATAAATGTACTGTGTTTATTTCTTTTTGTGCTCTCACTGTTGCTTGTGCTTCCCTGCTGTATCTATGGTAATAAACTACTGTGAGTCCAGACCTCTGAAAGACTGATGTGTTCCTGCATCGGACGTATTCCCTCGAGTGAGCAGGCCTCCTCTCAAGTTCTCAGAGACAAAGCTCTATTGTGCTCTCCTTCAGGGGATGGAACGATTTCATGGCTGCGTGCGTCAGTACTTCTGTTTTTTTCCTTTGCTCCTGTGGTCTTGCCTGTTTACGTAATTCTGTCGATCACTTTGGGAATTTGCTTTTTTCTGCTGCTTTCTGCTTACATCTGACTTTCGGCATTTCACCGCCGAGATGGGCGCACCCTGTGCTTATGTGCTTGTTAGGCTCAACAACTTCGATAGCCCATTTGTCTGTTTTTTCTTGAGGGTTTTGGTGCTGCAGAGCTAATTATCGCTAACGAACAGAGGCTTCTCTGACGCATAAACCCTTGCAGCTCTGCGTAAACCTGTTGGTTGGGTTAGTAGTTATGTCCCAGCTCAGTTCAGGGGTGATGGAAAGTGCCATTCAACCAGACAGCCAAACGCAAGATTTATGAATTACAAAAGAGGCAAACTGCATGGATAAATAGGGGTTGGCAAATCAAAGAAAATTTAAAAAACAGACAGGAGATTTATAGAGTTCAAGAGATTATTAAAGTTCAAAAGAAAATAGCTCCCTGCCCAAAACAAAGAGCAGAGCAGCAACACCCTTTTCCCTAATGTAGCTAAACAAAAGAAACGGCTGATGTGTGCACAACCCCAGGCATACACAAGCACCTCAAAAACATCATCACTGCTCCTTATTATCTGCTCATAGCCTTAAAACCGAATCAGCAGAACACATCTTAGTGTGTGAATCACAAACAGCAGTCTTCAATGAGACCTTAACCAGGTGCATCTACTGAATGCTGGACAGCACCAGCATCTCTCTAATCAGCAGCAAAGACAGAGTGATTGTGACAGAGCCAAGTGATGGCACAGCAGAGCCCGCCTTTGACAGAAATACTGAAGAGTTAAGGACACGAGAGCAACAACGGCCACGGCCGTGCAATTCACAGTCATATTTCAGTCACATTTGCCTTCTATTCTGCGTATCGTAAATCGCAGTGGAGGGTTTAGATTATCAGTGTAAGCCTATACCACTGCCAGAAAGCAAAAATCTGCAACTTGTGCCCAGCATCTGTGCAGCACCAGGCAAACTGCTGAGAAGTTTACATTACAGACATTCCTAAAACTATTCAGTGACATGTAGGTCCTCTCAGAAGTAGGTCAGCCAGATGCTAAAGAGACTGAAAATCATTGCAGCAAAGACCCCCTGAGAATTTCCAGTTTTTCTCAAGACAAACTCTTAAGTAAGATAGTGGGGAACTGAATTGGTTTTCCTTGAATTTATTGGAGATTATAATCTGCTAACCATGAAATTAACAGTCTGTGTGTCCAGGCTTCAATCATATTTCCGTTTTGCATTGACAACCAATTACAGAGACCAGGACAGTAAACCAAAAGTACAGTTTTCCATGCTTAACATTAACTTTGCAGTAAAATGAAAAAAAAAGAAAGAAAGTATGAAACATAAATCCCTTTAAATAACACGAGTGCAGTGAATCAAAAGAAACAGCTACCGCGTGACGACACATTTAGCAGCTGCCATAACTTTCCACACTGCGATTTAACATGTTTTGTCATTAGAGGCTTAAATATTATTAAGTACGTACAAAGAATAAGCAAGAAAAACATTTTTAAAAATGCAGCATTCACCATTTAAAAGCAGCTTCACAAAGAAGCAAACCACAAGGCTCCAATAATATGAAGCAGAAGTCTTCTTGCGCTTAAATCAAGCCTTTCGGTTAAATTTTCAGTTTGTGGATGTCATCGAGAGGTCTGTAGAGCTCAGGTGTCTTTTTAGCGTTGTTGGAGCAGTCGAGATTACACTTGCACGATTTGATCGTCATCACCATCCTCCTGAAGGTCTCTCCGTTTTTGCACCGAAAATGGAGAGGCATTGTCCGGGTCCTGTGTGGCCTGCAGCATTGTCCGTCTGAGCAGGATCCACAGTACCTGCGCTGCAACTTTTTCAGGCTACGACAACCTGCGTATGACAGGTGAACTGGATGGCTTGCTTTTCCTCTGTGACTGCATTTTTGACCTTTCTGCAAGAGAGAATGTATCTAGGCTTTAGTCTTAACATGGATGGGTTCTCAGCCTCTAATGAAATAATCACTGTATATGTTCATCAGCATATGGTGTACCTTCGAGGTCAACTGTTTGCAGGGACGGATTTCACAGATCCGAGTTTCTTTCACCAGTTTGCACTGTTTGTTGCGGTTGGTCAGCCTCGTGGACACACCAGAGCCGCAGGATTTGGAGCAGGGTGACCAGGCTGTGGTTTGAGGCATGCACTGGACTCCTCGGGCAAACATGTGGTCCACTGAATGACTCCTGAAAGCTGTGCAGATGTTTTTAAGCAGATATTTTTTAAGTTAAAGGTAGGATAAAATAATAGATAAAAGCAAGCAAGACTTAAATGCAATAAATATCAAGACTGCTCACCAGGCAGAGACTTTGATTCTCCCCACACAGAGGTGAACTCGTTCTTTTTGGAGAGGTCGTCTTCAGTGGTTTTGACTTTGCTGAACTTTCTTCTGTGCTTTTTTATCATAGCGCTCTGTGCCTCTGTTTCCTCAGAGCAGACTAGTTGTTCGCAGCACCCTCCCGGTACCTTGACCCGTCTTAATTTGGCACAGCCCAACAAGGGCAGCGAGAATTCACGTGGGCAGAGGGAGACACATCCGACTGCACCGTCGATGCAAGTGCACTGGTGTTTGCAGTTAGGATGGAAGGTTTCCCCATTCTGATAAATCTTGCTGTTGTACTCGCATGTTCTCCCGTTTAATTTGGCTGTTAAACAGAAGCAGGGAAAGGCTGATGTGATGAAAAGGGAAAAGGTGACAGTTGAAAAAACAGAAAAGGGAAATGAAGTCAGCGTACCTCGACAGACTCCCTTATCCGACCCTCCGAAGTTGCACTCCAGTCCCTTCGCGGCATCGCATGGCTGTGTCTTGCTGCAGTCTTCAAAGAGCTGCCGGGCACAAACCTTACAGCATCCACAGCTGTCCAGCACGAGGCTGACGCTGTCTGCACATGTTGGGACTTCAAGGGGACACTGGCAGTCCTTCGGGCACGAGGCTGACACCTGAGGTTAGACCAAACATCCCACCTTTGTAATCAACATTTCTTTCACCCACAGAATACAACAGCAGGCATGAGACACCTTTTCCTCACCAGCGTAAAGCAGACGATCTCGACGACAAAGACCTTCCACATCTTCTCCAGCTGAAGCAATCTCTCCTGAGTGAAAAAGAAAAGCCAGCCTCCTTAATATCACTCAGCAGACCTGGCAGCGGAATGACGGCTGTTTGTTCTCCCTCTTTGAGAGTCCCCATCCCCTTTTATCCACTTCAAGCAGATCTGACGTAGACTGAAGAGGTGTCCCGAAAGTATGAGAGGAATGCTTCTCCACACGTCCTCCCATAAGCCAAGCAGAAGTTTCTCCCTCCCTCCTCTCACACTCGCTGTGCCAAGAACCACCCTGTGCAGCTTCCACTCTGCCAGGGCTTTCTCTCCGGTTTTACTGTGTAATGCTTTCTCATTTCCAAAGAAAGCAGATATTTTTGACTTTTTGACCATTAAGATTCTTCAGAAATAAAACCTTACGTAACATGCAAAACAATGGCATGGATAATTCTTTGATTGCAGTGCTGGGAACTGATTTTATTCTGTTTTGTGACACAATGATTGCACTATTCAGTCTATATCACTGTTATGAAGGAGCTCTTTTGCTCCTAACCAAGAATTTACCAGCTGGTGCTGGACCATATATGTATGTATGCCTGGCAGCTGAAATGCATGTGAACATGGCTCCTTAAGGGATTTGACACCAGGCCACTGCATGTTCTGACATAAATATTGAAGGAAAGCCACATATTTCTATGACTGACTGAATTTCTCCCTGAGCTGAAGTTCTGTTTAGACTGTTGCACGTTGTCTGCGAATAATGTTTGTATTTTCCAGCCTTGTTAGTGTTACAGGTTAAATTTCCCTTCAGTCACCCTGTAAGGGCGTGTGGATGGAATTGAGTTTAACTTCAAGATTTCATAATGAGAGACAAGAGCCTCCTGGAAATGTTTGAAACTTGTTAATCCTCTGTTTAGTCTAAATAAGAGCAGTCAGAATGAGATGCTAGACAAAAAAAAACAAGAATAAAAAGAAAACCCAAGCAATGCCTGAAGCAAAATTCCTCTCAGGATGAGCATTGCAGGTTTCTTTGAAATAGATGCCAGGGTAAAAAGCATCTTCTTCCATCCACATCAAAGAACGAAGGCATTTATAAGGGAGAGAATACCTTTCCTTTCATTATAACCTGTGAGAATAAGAGGCTGAGCAGAGCAGATTGGCACAGCCGCCGTCTTATCTAACTAAGGTTACAAAGGCCGGTCTGAGTCAGCGCCAGCTCCGGCAGATGAAGAGCGAACAAGCGGGAGCTTGGTGTGTGACTGTTGTGGCTTGGTGTGGAAATTTCCTTCCAAAATTATAATATCAAGAATCTGCACAAACATGTTAGGTAAGAAGAACAGAGGTGGATGTGGAGGGCAAATTGCATGTCCTCTTCCCACAGTTCAGAAAATGAATGTGAAATAAAACAAGTGAGAAATTGAATCTTTCCTCTTTCTTAACATCCTAAAACACTGTTACCCCAACAGTTTGAAAGCCAGGGTGTCAAACACTCGGCCCAGGGGCCAAAATTTGCCTCACGGAGACTCCAGTCCAGCCCACTGGACAGCTTTAGATAAAAATGAAGGAAGGCATGAATCTTGGACTTTTAACTGTGTTTTCATAGGCTTCATTTTTGCAGGTAAAGACTTCAGCTATGGTCATTCACGCTACACCAAAGTAACTGGTCTTTTCTAATGGGAAACTAAGCTTCTTTACACTAAGACTGGCCCATGTAAGATCAAAGTTGGCTGTATCTGCTCCTCGATGAGTTCAAATGAGTTTGACGTCCCTGGCTTAAAGGAGTAGTCATCACTTTTTCGAGCAGATATCAGTGATGCTGAATATCTAATATGGCAGCAACTCAGTGCATATAGAAAGCAGAACGATACTTTAGATATGACTGTTTCTGGAAGCCGCTGAAAGTTTATATTTCAAAAAGAAATAATAAATTAAAAAGTGCCACGCCGTATTACAAGCTGAACTGATCACTGTAAGTGAAACCTCCGCTCTACCTCAAATTTTCACATCATGTGCAAAAACAACAATCGATAAAATAAGACACTGACCCACGGGCATAAAATCAGTAGACTAAAAGTAGACAAATTATAAATAAGAAAATGTGAAGAAAATCGTATTAGAAAGTTCAATGAAAGATGATCAAATTCAAGGAACATCCTGAGCTTCTTACTACATTTTACAAGATCCAGAGAAGCTTATTCATGTCTTTATGTCTCGCAGGGCTGCCTAATGCGATGCTCTTTTTATTGTCCTTACTAAAAAGACCGTTAGACGGCTCTGATTCTCAGCTCCCTGCCTTGACTTCCAGTAAGGTACAGATTTCAAACAAACAGCCCTAAATATATATCTGAGATGCTTAATGAATATGAACCCAGTGGGTCTCAAACCTGGTTACAAGAGCAGACAGATGTGAAACTAAAGAGGGCTTTATATACGCCTCTTGCAAAGAGGCGTATATAAAGCGTGCATTTTCTCATATCTTGCAATTCACTTAATGAGAGCGACATGTAATTACTTGAAAGTTATTGTGCTGGAGAGACCTTTTATCCTCCCACAGATACTTGATACAAGCCATGGGTGGACGTGCATTGCACAGTACTCTGCAGCGCCCTGTTAAAATTGCATATCCCTGATACTTAATGGAATACACTCGAATGAGTAAGGTGGGTGGGCAGGTTATAATAGGCTGTATGAAAAAAAAGCTATAAAAGAAGTCATTTTGCATGGTACTTCGACTGAAAAGCACAAATACCTCCTCACTTACGCATATTGTAAAACCACAGTGGATGCGAGGTCATGGTGGTGTCTTGGCTGTTACGTGAGAGTGGGTTTTGTGCTGATATGAATGAAAGTCCCGTCGGTGACATCATTTCTATAAATGCCTTCTTTTCTTTTGTGTCTGGCTCTGCACGAAGGGCACTCTGGAGTCAGCACACTGGGTTCATTTGAAACGCACAGCTGGTTATTTCCAGGCTGCTGAGCTCTGCTGTCCAGCATGAATGAAGGGAATTGTGGCGAGGACAAGTGGGCACGCATTGTCTGTTTCTGTTAACGCTCATTCCACATTTTTGTTTAACATCTGACATTCTCCTGCTGCGATGAAACAGCAGCCAGACAGCTGTGAGGGGCTTTAAATCATTATCTCTGCATGAGTCCTGCGATCTGATTTACAGTTCATATACATTTCTGCTTGCTGATGGTGTTTTCACACAGCACATACAGTACTACACTGCAGAGCATGACAAAACAAGCCTGATAAC